TTCGCATGATTGGATCCAGTAGGAAAGGAGTTACGACTGAAAAGTGCGGCTGAAGAACCATTTCACCGAAGACTTCTGAGCGCTACTGTGTGTTTTATGTAGCTAATCCGAACAATATGACTTTACTTCACGTTTATTATCTATCTAGTGAGTACATGGAAATTGTTAGTATATCACAAGCTGATGTGACGCTAGCACGCGTCTGCTTCCTTGTATCATTCGAATCAGTACAGAAGCATTCCAGTTTCTTTTTTTTTCACTAGCTTGGCATTGATTATTCATTGCATAATCATAGTTCTGTTCATCAGTACGACGACAAGGAAGCTCTATTTCAGACGGTCGTACGAACTAGACCTCCTTATTGTTGCGTGTTACTAATATCTGTGAATTCTAGATGGTTTTGTGCGCATGGAGTTATGCATGCTAGCAAAATTGTGAACACTTAGGATATACGCTCACTTGTAAGAGCCACGTGGGATCGAGGGCTACTGGTAAATTCAAATAACTGGTAAAATAGAGAAGGCTGAAAGCTGCCGAAACATCTGCTTCGGTTCTTCTGTGGGAGACGTTGTTTTTCCACCCAATGAAAGATTAGCCTAAGTCATCGTGCGCGTGGTGACAGTTTTTATGGGGCAACAACAGTAGGGTCAATACGCATAATTTAACAGACTTGATGTAGCGTTTTCAACGTGGCACCATTACCCTACTTTTGAGGATCGCGATTCTTTCGCTACGAAGGCAGTGGAAGCAGCTCAACGGGTCACAACGTACGTTCCACCACATCTTCGCAAAGGTAAGAAATGAGAACCTATAATTGTCTCATTTATTGCTATGTTTGTAGTTATGTGGAAATACTAAAAATCTTTCGGCGCCTAAGTTAAGATTTTAAAGGATCCGCCTTATCCAAACAAGTTTTCATATAACTGGTGGTCTGGTAAAACTGATATACACCATTTTTCCTGTAATCCTTTTTTCTTCAACAGAATTTGTGCACAAACAAGTATGTACTTCAACACCTGTTTTGTGGGTAAGCCCCATTGTTGCTTTTGAGAATTAATAATATTGAATTAAATGCACTATTTTTCGTGGTTCATTAATGGACGACACCACCAGCTTCAACTGAATTTTTGATGCAGCAAAATTGCGATATTATATGCGGTTTCAAAATGCAAATGAAGATCAATGGAAATTATTAGGTAGTGAGAGGGACATAGTCATGAAAAAAATATAGGTGCCTAGTCTAAGATGCTTGAACGTTTCATGTCCCTTTTTGCTGTGAATATTTAAGGTCTCTGCAGAATAAGGGTCATAATGTAGAATTGTTCTCCACTCGTTTCTCTGCTCATCCGCTTGGCTTAAATCTTAAATCATAGATCATTGAATCTTATCACTTGCTTTCTGTTTTTGTACTGGAAAGGGGGTGGTTCAGGATGGGAACCTTTCTGGCAGCAACAATCCGACATGTATTGATTCGCGCACCGCAAACTATTTTCATGTTTCGATCGGTATTTTTGAAGTTTTCCCCCTTTGAAAACTCCGTCTTAATTGCATGGAGCAGTGATCTTGGAAACTTGGAGTATGCTTACGCGTTTAAAGTTGTTCCGCCGCTCAAGTTTAAAATCCCTGGTCCAAGGAAACAGGAGCTATCGAATTAGCGAAACACACTCACCGACACATTCCGCAGTAGGTCATTCCCCTCACACATCCCCTATGCCTCCGAGTGGATCCAGTTCAGTTCCCTTCTACTGCTTACCATCAGTATTTTAAATCTGCTGCCTGCACTCGTTCCAAATTTGAACGCTCTTCGTTGAAATTAGCAATTTCACATACGTCCCGCCCCCTAAGTCATTCCACCTCTCAGCATTCGCATTCCACCGGCTTTATTCCTAGCAAATTTGTGGCTCGTAGCCGAACTGATATTTTCAAGCACGCCCCGCCCGGAGTCAAGAATTGCCGCCTACCATTGGTGTTACTATCCTGCCAATCCTGCCATGTGTATCCCTAACAAATTTGAACGCTCTAGGTTTGCGGGGTCGGAAGTTATGAATTTCCTCTGAAACATTTATTTCGTGCAAACTATGTCCCCTGTAGGCGGAGTCCGGTCCTGACACACACCATAAGTGATCCCATCCTGGCGCCTGTACTTTTGGATAGGTTTCTTCCCTTGATCTTGACTTTTGTGTCAGGACCTAGGGAGACTTCTTCTGCATTGTTTCGAAGGCTAGCCATATAGCACGCAGTGCAGGCGACAGGATGTGAACATTGATGATGGGTGGTAGAAAGTGGTAACAAATCATCGTAGCGGATAAGGAACTTTGTTAGAAGACAAGAGCCGCAAGATCTGTAACCTCCTCCATACCTTGGCCCAGTGGTAGGGAGTGTGGCTTAAGAAAGGAACGTAGATTTTTGATGTTAGGGTAAAGCATGATTACAAGCCATAGTAGGCGAGAGCCATCAGACCTGTAACGCTCTTCGTGTCAACCGGGAAGTACTGGCATTTCTATAGGTGATGTGGGATGTAACGAGGTATTAACTGATAGGAGCTGATAAGCGGCCCAGGAAGCAAGAGCCTTCTACCAAGTAAAGCTCTGATGAAAAAATCAGATCTGTATTGAAGACTTCGACTTAGCTTTGACTCTTCAGTATATTTCATTCGCTTAAACGAGTTGATAAAGTAGGACGACAAAAAGTGAGTGGTGAGTGCAGTGATGGGGGCCGCTTGAAGGCTCTTTGTGTGAAGATATGAAAATTTGATTCATTTATTGCCGTTAGATTACGGCCTACTCAGCAAGGATTGTGACTTGATGAAAGACCACGATCCCTCTTTGTTTCGATACCATTTGCTTCAAAACTTATCCGACGACCATTAATTTTTTACTAATGATATATACTCGGAAAAAAAGTTCCACAGGTCCACAGAAGGCCTGCATTAGAATGTTAATCTGGCAGTTATAAGTTAAGTTTTGCTCCCATAGGAATATTCCTAATCACGCTCAAAGAAATTTATGCGACTACGCGCTGAGCGAGTGAAAAGAAAAACAGATTAATGTTCAAAATAATGCAATGAAAATAATTGTTTGTTTGCAGTTGATAACTCGCATGCCAAACAACAATCCAATGGTAAACAGCAAAACACCGTGAAGATGACTGAAGCGGAAAAGAAAACGTTGGCCATCAAGAAGAAGCTGAGAGACATTGAAGTGCTCAAGGTGTGTTGTGTTCCCAATCCCCACTAATACGGTGTAAATGACATTTTTCAAGGCTCGCCTATCTAACGGAGAAGAACTGCAGAAAACTCAGCTGGAGAAAATAGCAAAGGAACCTGAGCTCATCGCACAGCTTGCAGCTTTCGAAGAAGTTCACTAAAAACAGAGTTTCATCGAGATTTTATGTCTTGTCCACGGATTTGCTAATGGTTTTGAGCTGGTCTTCGAGTGTCTTCGAGTAAATCTTCTATTAATGCGTTTTGTTCCTATTTGGTTCCCTGATTCCTAGGAGAGAGCATTCTTTTGCATGCAGTTTTGGTAGTTCAATAGTTATACCAAATTTGAGAAATGGGAGAAGCATTTCAGCTGTTTAAAATTTATACCATAACGGTCAGCATACTCCAGCAAAAGCTATTAACGGTAATCGAAACGATAGGGTTAACTTGGATTATGATCTATCACTTATGGAGAACGAAACTAGGCTGGACTTGTTTGTCGTACAAACTCCATTCGCCTTGCTAAATAGCTCGCTTCTGAGCCTACCTTTCTACGGAGTTTTGTGATTTTTTGTAGTGTAAGGACGCCACTACTTTTCCAGCAACCGTGTTATCTCGAAAGTTACGTTTTTCGTTTACAGCTCTGTGCATTTGCTGTTACTGAGCAATTACTTACAGCTTACGCTTTCATTCTTGAATTGTGATAATGCTCATAGAATGACTCGCTGATTACTAACCCTTCATC